TAATATGATATATATATATATAGAGAGAGAGAGAATATTGCATTTAAACATGTTCTGTATATGAAACATGTAATTAGTGTTGTAAATAGTTATAATGCTTTCCTTATTTTTAAGAATTAATTACTCATAGTAAGATTTAAATTTTAGTAATAGTGATGGTGATGTTAGTAATTTGTATAGACTAATAATAATTATACAAAATTTAATTTTTAAAATTATTAAAATAAGTTTATATTTATATAAAATAGCAGTTTTGCAGCTGATGTAAATAACACATTAGTATGTTTTTGTACTTAGGTTACATGAAGAAATTGAAGATTTTTTTGCTTATATGTGCCCCTCTAATGAAGAACATAGTTTACGAATGCGTGTTGTCAAAAGGATAGAACAAGTAATATATGATCTCTGGCCAGTTTCTAAGGTTGAAGTATTTGGCAGCTTTCGCACTGGTTTATATTTACCTACAAGGTACGTATCATTGTACATATTTAAAACAAAATGTATTTAGTAATGTGTTCACATGTAAAATATATAGATATCTTTTAAATCAACTTTAATGTTACATAAATCCATAAATACATTAAATTATAATAAACAATGTGAATTTGTCTTGAAAATAATAATGTTAAAATCTCTTTTTTGTGATTAAATACTGTAAATACTTAGAATTTATTCTTCCTTTCAGTGATATAGATTTAGTAGTAATAGGAATGTGGACAGATCTTCCATTGCGTACTTTGGAACGTGCTTTATTGGATCAGAATATTGCTGAACCATCCTCTATTAAAGTTTTGGATAAAGCTAGTGTTCCAATTGTTAAGTTGACTGATAAGGAAACTGAAATTAAAGTAGATATCAGTTTTAATATGAATAATGGTGTTAAATCTGCAGAATTGATAAATTCTTTTAAGAAGCGGTATCCAGTATTGGAAAAATTAGTTATGGTATTAAAGCAATTCTTGTTACAAAGAGACCTGAATGAAGTGTTTACTGGTGGAATCTCCTCATACAGCTTAATACTCATGACTATCAGTTTTTTACAGGTAAAATATTATTGTTATTATTGTCTTGAACAATGTTTAAACATAAAATAATTACTAAACAAGTTTTCAATTGCATATAAAAAAAATGTAATACAAAAAAATTATGTTATATAAATTTGATGTATAAGTAATTTGTAAAAAAACAATTTGGTTGGTAATTACATAGAAAATACAGTCTTTGAAATAAATAATTGAAAAATCTTCCTACCGCATACTCAAATTTTTATTTCAGTTACATCCCAGGCAAAATGCTTATTGCTCGAATGCTAATCTTGGAGTGCTATTAATAGAATTTTTGGAATTATACGGTAGGAAATTTAATTATGTTAAAACAGGAATTCGTGTAAAAGATGGTGGTACTTACATATCGAAAGAAGAGGTAAAGTACATCTGCATGAAATGATTAATCATATAAAAATTACAGATTTAATAAAATTATATAGAAAATAATTGTTATATGCATAAATTTTTTAAAAATCACATTAACAATGATGTACTGTAAAAGAAATAAATACTGTATGTAATCATTTTGGATATTTACACTCTTTTTTTTCTATATACAAACAGTAAAAGTGGGAATAATGATATATACTTATGCAAAACAAAAAAGTGATTTAAAACTACATATTTATGAATATTTAACAATTGTGTGTGTGTGCGCGCACGCGTGTGTGTGTGTGAAATAAATAAAGAATTTAGAATATTTATTTCTTATTTTTTTAAAAAATTTAATTTGTATTTTACATTAATTTTAGGTTCAAAGAGATATGATAGATGGCCATCGACCTTCGTTACTATGCATAGAAGATCCTCTGACACCAGGAAATGATATTGGTCGTAGTAGTTATGGTGCTCTGTATGTAAAAGATGCATTTGATTGGGCTTATTACGTCCTTTCACAAGCAGTTAGTCCCTTAAATATTTTAGTTAATGATGCAAATAAAGTGAGGTAAGACTATTTATAATATTTAAATTTTATTTGTATATTTTAGAATTTTGATAATTATTTCCTAAAAATATATTATGTACAGTATACTAGGAAGAATAATTCGCGTGACAGATGAGGTAATAGAATACCGCAAATGGATTAAAGAAACATTCCCGCTACCTTTGAATGAGGTAGATTCGTTGTCAAGTTCAACTGGATCTGATGCATCAACACTTTCTGCTCCAGCTAGTGATACGGTACAGAATTGTTGTCTGTTTCTTATGGAACGAAAATTTTTGCAAATTAATTATATTTTTAACTATTTTTCAACATTTAATTCCAATGTTATCAGGATTCCGAATGTAGTCGTGGAAATTCTCCGAACACTAGTGGAAAAGGAGAAGACAGGAATAAGGAAAGACATGTATATAATAATCAACATACTCACCATCATTCACAATGGAAAAAACCATTTAAAGGAACTGCTCATGGTACAATTTATTAAATTTTTAAGTATTTATATATTTTGATGACTTACAGATATTTTAAAGCATTTAAATAATTCAAATAATATAAATTTATTATTATTTGAATGTAATTGAATTTAAATTTCAAAATAGCAATGAACAATGATAGTCTATTGTTTTATATTTATATTTACAATAATTATCTATTCAATTTAAAAATATCAACTTTGTTTTTCTCAAATCCATTTAAAAAATATGTATTCACTACAGGTAATCACCACCACAGTTCTAGAGGAAATTATCATCATCGAGGAATAAACAATAATATAAGTGGACAGAGTAAAGCAAAACACTCTCTTCACAGTAATGGAAGTAATAATAATAGTCACAGTCCAAGTTCAAGGTCACAAACCGTCAAACGAAAAAAACAGTGCATTACACCTCGTGGTACTGGAGATTGTGTACGGTGATGAAACGTGAAAAATAATGTTGAACTTTGTCTCACACTTAAGTAGAGAGCTCAATATCATAATCGTGTGGTGAAAAGACATTGATTAACTTTCATCACGCAACTAAATTATCCTTTCCACTTTAGTGTACAGAGGGGCTCAGTGTCTATAATGATGTGGAGTTGACAAACTCTGTGTTTCTCTTTTCTTATATGGACAAAAAAGTGGCCCCAGTGTAGTTAAGTTCTTCATTTCACCGGAAACAAGTTTTTGTTCTGTACGAAAGTTTACATACCAAAGACGTACAGAATTGTAATATAGATGGGTTTAGTTTTACTTTTTTTGCATTACTGCACATATTACAAATAATATGGAGAAAATGTGTAATATTTTATTAATCATTGTTTACAAAGTTACAAGCTTATTGCAATCTTTGAATAGCAATTGTGTTCATAATCACGGTAAACTCATTGTAATACATTTATATAATACGAACGATATATACAAAGATTATTTACAGTGCAGTTTTCTTAAAGATTTCATGAAGTTGTAAAACAAGCTCTAATAATGATGATAAAGACTTAGTTTTCTATATGGAACTATATTCTTATAACGAAGGGGTAACAGAAAAATTGGTGATATTGGGACTTACCTATTGTAAATATTGTAATATATATTATCAAGCATAGAAAAATAAGTCTAAGAGTTACCTACTAAATTTTTTTATTTTGTACGTATCTAAAATAGTGTTTGTTATAATAATTTTATCATTTGAAATCATGGATCTGTCCATGTCTCTGTGAGAATTACCTATTTTTTTCTGTAATATGTAAGTCCAGTACTGTTGTGAAAATGTTTTGGTATATTTTTCGGATTTTAATAAAGTTATAAGTTCGTGTGCTTATGATCAACAAATTTTGAATAAAAATATTTTTGAAAATACTAATTCATTGATGAAAAAATAATACACTGTAGATTTTTACACTATGTTCTTTAAAGTCGTAATTGTGCGTAATGCTTTACTTTTGATACAGAATCGCTGATTTCGTAACACTAGTTTGTAATTTTTAGTCTCCCCTGAACAATAATACATTATTTTTATATTATAAAAATAATAGTAAGCATATACATCATGGTCGAATGTTACACAAATTCAATGCACGAATCACACATTGCATTTAAACATGTTCTGTATTCTTTAAAATCTGAGCAACATTTCAAAAATTTTGTATGTGACAATACGCAGAAGGCCTTTATATCATTGAAAACTTAAAATGTATTTACGAAATTATCTTGTATCTAATTTATTATTGAAAATCACATTCCGTTCAACACAATTTTTTGTTCCTCAAATTGAAAAAAAAGTAATTGCGTTTATGATAGCAAATGTTTACTAATTAAGAATCTTTGTCCGGTTGCATTTTGTGCTAATACAAGTTGTAATATAATTCAACCAGTGTTTCCTATTAAATTCGAGTGCAGAGATAAAAAAAACACGTATTCACTTTCCTTAAAATTTTATAACTCTTGCGGAATATTCTGTATATTATTTAACAAAACATTATTCACGAATAATATCATAAGCTGTGATTCAATTTTATAATAGAATGTGAATTGCTCGTTATAACATATATAATATGTACATATAAATGTGAACAGCAAAATATGGATTACAAAAATGATTACAAATTTTTTAATTGGGGATCAAATTTTCGTAAAACTTTATTATTAATAATTTGCGACTTATGTTTACCTATCTTTAAAAATGATTTAAAAATGTGTAAACAGTGAAAATTTAATAAACAGTGATAACAGGTTTTTTTGTGTCATTGTCATTATCTTTATAATTTTGAATAATATGGTTAAACTTTAATTTTGAAACTTTATATAATAAAATAATAAACAGCGAATTATGAAGTTACTAAAACATGTTTAAAATTGTGTTTGAAAGTTCAAAATATAAAAAATAAATGTACACTCTTAACTCACATATTTTCTGCCTTCAAAATAGATAAACAAGGCAATTAAACAATGAAATACACAGAAATTGATTAATTTTAAACCTGTTCCACTTTTTAATTGTAGATTATGTGATATAGTTAAATTGCCCCACTATTTTCTTGTTTCTATAAAAAAAAAACAGAATGTAAAGAATGTTCTACTTAAAAAAAATCCAAATCGATATATGTATAAAAAAATGTAAAAAATGTTCCACCTAAAAACACCTATATCAAAATATAAATAGTGCAACATCAAAAACGGAAGCGTTGTTCATTATTCTATTATTTATCGTTTTAAATTGAAATATATCTTACATTAAGTATTTTTTCATATCATTGAAACTTAATAACCTAACCCAAATGATAAATGTTATATAACTTGAATTAATACAGTGTCGTGTATGCATACATAACATGTACTCCCGCCAGAAAAGTATCACAAGTAAAAAATTTTCATTTTATTGCTTAGAATATCTTCTAATACATTTTAGAAAAACCGTTAGAAGTTGGACTGTAATACTTCAAGCAAGTAAATTTTCGGTGACGTATGTTTGACAATGCTGTAATTAAGTCATTTTCTAAACACAAATTTTCGTTTTGCTCTCTTCAAAACTTTCATGTTTCCGACTTGTGACAGTTTTCTCGCGGGGTATGATATATTTATACTAGAGATGCAATATGTTAATAAAAGATTTAAATTAAAGGAAAAGATTACAGAAAGTAATAATATAAAAATTATATGTATACATTATTATTACA